CTTTTGTACATCATATTATCTTGAACATAATTTATTATCATGATGTATTAAATATAAATATATTGATAAATAATCTAATTATTTAATGATAAAATAATTAATATTATAAATTAAGTATTAGAAAATAAAAACAAAAATTATATGAATTATAGAACTATATTTTAGGAACGTTATTTTCAAACTCTCAGCGTAGCGATGAATTTATCGGTTTTACAAGGATGTGTGAAAATATTTTTTCAAGTAGAAAAAAAATCGTCTAATCATTAAATTTTATAGAGGTTTTTTATAGTAAATTAGACTTAATTGGTATTTTTAGGAAATCAATATTGGAAATTCTCAGTATTTTTTTTTTTAATTATTGGAAAATACTAAAAAATATATAAACATTTGTCAACATTTTAATATTATTATTAAAATAATTATTTGGTACGTCGGTTAGATTGTCTTTGTTAAAAATAGTTTTTGATTATATACAATTATTTATCATTGAATTGAAATTTAAAAAGTCATTCATTCATAATATCTAAATTTAGTGTTATTATTATCTGATAATATGAATAAATTCTTCAGTCCATAATAATTGTTCAGTATTTGTAAAACAAAATATAATAATAATTTATGTAGTTAATATGATTATAATTTATAAATTAAAAATTATATGGCAGATTATAAGTAATGTATGTACGGTTATCATATTTAATAAATATATATATATCATAATGATTTTTAATTTTAATGTTTACATATATAAAATACAAATATTCTTGGCCAAAATATTAAAATGATAGGTATTTAAATTAATAAGATGATCAGCTTTTATCTTGATAATAGAGAAAAATATGTCATGGAGAAATTCAGTATCTCGTGTTTGGAGAAAAACATCTCCTGCCTAGACGAGAAACCGGTAAATAAATTTTCCGAAATGAATACCTTTAGAGACGTGTGCCAGCAGTAGGTTATTGCCATAAACGATCATAATACTGTTTTATCATATAGAATTATGGTTATAATAGTGCAAATAATAATATAATAATCCAGTGCGTTGTAAGTATAACGATAATTTAATATATTTAGACCGTGTGAGATGGCTTATTATAGAATGTTCAATAAGTATTTTAAAATCAGTAGAAATATAGATTCATGCATTTAAAATGACGAAATTGACCGACAGGTTTTTCTTGGTGAGACGATCCTGTTGATATAAATAAAATATCAAAAACTACGCACGTGGCACTAAAATCGATCAAATGAATATAATATCACATGTACGTATTAAACGTCGTACAGAGAAGCCCTTTTCATAGAGTCACGCTCATCGTTCGCTGGCCAACATTTTACTTTTTTTTTTTTATCTTTTTTATGCACATATATGTGTATGATAATATATATAGGTACATATTTTTTTTGTAATTAAAATGAGAAATGTCCGAATGACTGAGTGTATATATATATATATATGATATATTATACGTGTTTGAATGTAATTTGTATCAAACCTTTTGTTCGAATTATGTCAGCGGTGTTTTGACCTATGATCACCCCCGCGCACCAAAAGTCGAATTTCGATATCTGCACCCGTCAATAATAATAATAATAATAGCAATAACGATGGGGGACTGTTTTCGATTTACTGCACGGTTGTATATATATTTTTTTTAATCGTCTGGCAGTTCACACATAGATTTTTACGTTTAACAATAATATATCCGCGCCATAATGAATATTTTTTCATGGTGGATTGTCAATTTTCACTGCTACGCATGGGTTGGGTTAGTACGATATTGAAGGTATATAATAATAATATAAAACCCGGTATCCCCGGGCGCGTGTTAAATAACATTATTTAACATTGTTTAACAGCTGTAGCTATTGTATTATAATAATATAGAGTATCGACGTAAACCAGATTAGCATACGCTATATATATCCTATCGTAATTTATTTATTTTGAACGAGAATACGCCTACTAAAATTTCTTAATTAGTTTAATGGTTGAAATATAATTAATTATGTGTTCAATCGTTATTTATACCATTATAATGTAGGCACATAGCTAACTATATATATCATATTTGTATTTACTGATATATATATATATATATATATATAATATATGTTGAATATCATAATATTATGACGATAACGACGACAAAAGATGTTAAAATTTATATATCGGCCGAACTTGAATCGTTATTAGTGTCAGTAAAATGTATTATTGTACTGGAATGGTTTGGTATAACTAATATTATATTATATTATATTATATTACATTATATTACATTAAATATTATTTGATTACTTTAGTTTTATTAAAAATCGTTTGTTAATTTTGAATATTACCAACCTAACGATGTATTTGAAATTGAAATCCAGCATAAATGAAACTGTTAACACAATATTATTGTTCGATAAAATTGTTTCAAATAATATATTATACTTTTGGTCTTTATTTATATAATTACCATTATTATCGCGTATTCCAAAAATATTTAGCATCGCATTTAACTTAGTTGTGTGTGTGTAATTAAAGATAATTTTTTTTTATTTAATATTTTATTACTGTCACAGCATTGTATTTATTTTTTTTTAAGTCATCAATGGTAACAGTTCGAAACCTCATAACTTCGTTAATTATATTATTTTAATCTTTTGAGGAACAGTTAATGAAATAACACTGAAAAGTTTGTTGAAAGTTAAAATTATACATCTTACATAGTATAATAACAATGCGTCACTTCAGTGTAAAAAAAAACTTTGATTTTCAATCAAAATACAATTGCCTGTATTCAGTATAAAACGCTATTTGTATAGGAATAATATATATTGTTGAAATGTTACATATCATACAAAATTGCTTTTAAATATTTTCTTAAAAATTTTGCATATAAAATACATAGTAGGTATATTTTTAACGATACCGTAAAATTCGTTTTATATTTACACCACATCAGTACTACAGTGAAATATTTTAAAATAATGATAATAATAAAATAATACAGTAAATGGATTGCGGAGTAACACGCAATCTATATTATCACTGGTTCGTCTCATAAAATTGTTTGTACACACAATTTGTGCATATATAATATTATATTGTTATAATAATATTATACGCAAGCCCACACCCATCCACACCCATTAATCCATGTGAATACATATATTGTACTGTATACTATAGGCATATAGTATAATATCGTAGAGTATAATAGAGTAAACGGAAGGCGAGTGGGCGTCGACCGTTTCGCGTATATAATATTTTATAATTAAAACAATATTTTTTTAGAAAAAATATAAAAATAATAATCAAAAGTATTCTAAGATCCATGTTAACAGATATTTTATTTATATAAATTATATGTATATGTGTAATAAACGTAAAAATAACGAGGACATAGTCAGCATGAAACAGTTGAGATTAAAATTTCAGTATGGTTTAGTATATATATATATATATATATATATATATATATATATATATTATGTATGAGAGCGCCGCGACAAGTGATATTCTGCGATGTTGATCACTACAAATAGTGTATACTATATAAACTATATATATATATTATATATATATATAACAGGATCAGGATCATGATTGAAAGTGGAAACTGGAGTAACAACAGGCATGCTGTTATTAAACTTTCTCCGTTGACTATTTTTTCGTATATAGTATACATGCTTATCGTATATTATTTGCTATATTGTATATACACAAGAGGGTCCTTATTTTAAACCGTTTTTAGTTAAATTAAATTAAAAATCAACATTTAAAAAAGAAATACAAAAGACCTTAAATAAAGTACTTAAGTAGATCAAGTAGATCACCCATAAACATTTTCATTAATAATTTCTCGTGAATTCATAATTATCATTGCTCCACTTAAAATCTAAAATATATTTGCATATATATATATAACTTGTTTAAATTTGTTATAATTCTGTATCCATAGAAATGCGTTCTTTATTAATCATTAAATAAATCATAAAAATGAAGAATAATAATTAGGTTTACCATTATTTTAATAACAATTATTATTAGTTTTTAAAAAATGTTAATTAATACCTCTTTATTGTATTATTATTAGAGATAAATTTTGAAATTTTGGAATTATATTATAATATAATCAATAACGTATCACAGATCATTTTAAATTTTAGCACCACTAAAGTGGTGCCCTGAACGCTTTCCATCTGACGAAAGCCTCACTGTATTGTGATTTTTCTCGGATATTTCCACCCCTTCTAGGTGTATGATAGCTATAGGTACCACATGTCTAGTATACAGATTTTATTATTGCATTGTGTTTTTTTTTCCAACAGTATTTGTTTTACCTGCCATTCTCGAGGTATTCGAAATGAATACAAACATACGCATAAACAACAAAATCGGATAAAAACAAACGGAAATCTGTCAGCATGTAAATAATTTTATTATATTTAAACATATATGTATACTCTGCAATAGGACACAATGCGTCTATGTTGTATTATATTATATTTGTTTGGCACAAATTTCAAACGTTTTACACATGTCGTCGTGATCATCCATTCTATACCTCAGACTGTAGTAGGTACCTTATATTCCAACTATCCAACGGTTTTGAGTGTTAGATCAAATAAATCTCGAATTTAGTGTGCGGACTATTTTGTATTTTTCTAAATGGGTCCAAAGATATTTTTTAATATCAAACACAAATTGTCTTATGTTTACTTTTTGTTTTCGTTAATACAATTTTGAAGGTTTTTTGTATCTCTAAAATAAATTTGACCAAAATGATGTAGGAAATTTCTTGTGACTCCATTTAACTACAGTTTATAAGCTATAAACGATTCCATATACATATTATATGCCACGAACTTATGTGTATGCATTTTTGCGGAAAAAATTAATTAAATGTATTGATTTATTTATTATTTTGCACTCAAAACCCGCCATTTGATATTTTTTTTTTTTATATCTTATTTTAATGGTTATTAAATTAATTATTCTCTTATATTACTTGTAACGCCTCAGCCTCATCTCTTCTCTCATCTTCGGTGTTCATAGTGACAAATCTAAGCACCAATAGGTCGAGTGACGCTGCCACTACTGCCAGACCAAACAGAATGAATATCAACGTAAACGCCACGTACTCGAGTTTGTCGTTCAACGTGTTGTTCTTCTGTAAGGCCACCATGTCGCCGAATCTGTGAACAATTTTCGTAATCAAAATTATAACAGATTTAGATATAACTAACATATAACAGCATTATTGAAATAAATAATAAACTCATAGTAGTACTAATAACAGAAATAGATGCGCATGCCAAGCTAGCTAGCGAATCGTCATCAATTTCACTTTTTAACTCGAGAAAATATTCAATAAAAACATTGGTATTGCTTTTGAAAAAAGATGGATCGGCTAGTAGTTTTCGTTTAAAAGTTAGGAAAAAAAATATAATTATCAATAAAATAAAAATGTACAAATTGTCAAAAATACTTTACTATTTAAATTTTCAGTTGTGGGGTACTCCTAAAGTATCTAATACCAACAAAATCCAACAGTTCCAAAATATTGCTCTTAGAAAAATTACAAATGCTCCACCTTTTGTGTCCAATTATACCTTACATAAAGACCTCACAATGAAAACTGTGACAAAAGAAGCAATAGATTTTTACAAACGCTTTCATAATCGCCTACAAACCCACCAAAATCCATTGATAAAGATTCTCTACACTCAAATCATACCGGGAAACCCTCGGCGTCGTCTAAAAAGGAACTGGTGCCGTGACTTGTTATAAATTAAAAAAAAATAATAATAAATTAAAAAAAAAACAAAAAAAAAAAGAAGTTCTAGACTCTAGACAGCGTTAATTCCCAGCCAAGTGTCACCAATGGGTGATTTCTTAATTCAAGATATTCATGTTATTATTATAATATCATATATACTTATTGTACTATATTGTATAGATAGTGTATTTCAAATTGTAAAAAAAAAAAAAAAACTATTTAAATTTATGAAAAAATGTAAATAATCATTTGTGTTTGGTTTTAAGATAAATATAGTTTAAAGTAATAATTATACTTTAGAGACTATTTTTTAAAAGTTATAAGTAACACAGTAACTATAGGTACTAGACTACATTCAACAAATTCGAGTAAAACAGATTTTGTTGAAAAGGAAATGTAATAAACAAGATATTGTTTTAATTTTTAATATTATTATAAACACTAAGTTTTTTTTTAAATGTCAGATAGGTACCTACTTTAGAAAAGTGTTAATTAGTTTGTACAAATATTTTCGAAATAATAATAATAATCAATAACTAACGCTTTATATTTATTATGACCTTTTGTAAATAACAATACGATGCATAGGTATATGTTTTATACTACATATTGTTTATAAACAAAATAAACGATAAAATGAGCATATTTTTTATATACTAAATTCTATTGTTTATTTTATTTATTTTGTGACAAACATTGAAGAACGCTCTTTTTTTGACAAAATAAACCTTATCCTTTTTCCACCAGACTAGATAATAATATTAGATTTTCTCTTCTACCAAAAGAACATTATTATTTTTCCACCACAGAAAATATGAATAAATACATATTTTTATCTCCAAAATAGTTTCAAAAGAATAATAGTGATCAATGATGAAAAACATAAAACTTTATAAATCAAATGCAATATACAGTAAAATAATTAAAATGTCTACATAGTATTATAAATAAAAAATATGTAAATACGAGTAGTAAGAAGTAGTTTTTTATTAATGATTTATTAGACATAATTTTATTTTTGAATAATGTTGTTGTATTATTAATATTTTGAGAACAAAACGACCTTTAAATTCTGAGTAGAACAAGAAATATTTTTTATAAAATACATACATATGTTTTTAAATTTTTTTTAGCTGTGAAAACTTTTTAATTTAAAAGTAGTGTCCAAAAAGTTTTTAAAGTATCACCTCTGTTAATTGAAAATTGAGTATAGATGGTAGATTGAAAAGGTAATTTTTACATTTAATCAATACATTTTTTTTGTTAAAAAAAATCTACCGACATCTTTCGAAAAATATGGAAATAGTTTAAGTAAGCGTAGTTTTGATAAAACTATGATTGTAACTTGTGTTATTAAAATTAATTCAAAATTATTTTCCCAATAAAGCCAATTTTTAAAGCGATGATTTATTACATTGTTTTTAAATTTAATACCAAAACACACTACTAACATTTGATGCGAGGTTTTATTGAGGAGGCGTGTATAACGTGTATCCAACATCGAGTTCATAAACCAAAGTTAATTGCATCAATGGTAAATTTATAATATTATTTATTATATATAAGACTTTTCTGAGAAATTCTCGGAGAATTTCAAAAAGCTCTGTATGTGACATGGCTGCCAGACTTCCTCCTTAGTGTGTTCTCTTGTACGTACGCCGAGTCCGACGGAATCCCTTATTCAGTAGATTCCGTTGACTCGTCGTCGGCCAACAAATTATTCCTAGGTACTCTTTAAAATAATAACTTATAAATCAAATATTCAGGGTTTCGTAAGACTACTGTCTATGAATATAGAGTACAAAATAATATAATAAGTGATAATATATATTATAATGAAAATCAAATTATATTATAACGTACTCTAACAATAGTTGTATCTTAATCACTTAAAAAAAATATTTAATAAAATCGGTATAAATATATTTTGGAATATCATAATATAACATCATAATATGAATAACCTTAATCAAATGCTCGGATTTTTGAAGCTAATATATACATTTTTTTTTATATGTAATATATATTTTCTGTTTAAGTAATCAATACATGTTTTATTGATTCCAATAAATTATCAATATTTTCAAATGATAACAATACATATTAATGAATGTCTTTGAGATGTTAAAATCGATAATCAGTGTTTTTTTTTAAAAATCCTTTTAAGAGACTTCTGTGAAAATGACCACTTTAAAGAAAAAAATCGTCTATGTCAAAATCTAATTTATAGAAGGGATAATTCAACTTCTTTTAAAGTATACAATGTTGTGTCAAAAAAGGCTATATTAAATTAAAATTGCATTTTGTACGAAAAAGTGTTAATGGAAGACAAACTAAAAAAAAAGGTAGACAAGTGGCAAGTAGATACACTTTGCTGTACATTTAATGACGAATGGGTCACTGTGATAAATGTGTTAAATTTGAATTTAATGATATATTATTGTACTCGAAAAATAATTCTAAAAGAAGGTGTCCAATAAGCTTATAATATCACTAAGTATATTTTATTATATAATTTTTGACATAATTGTAATTGAATGCAGTTTATTTTACATTATTTTGTAGTACAGTAGGTTGAAATAATTTCTAATAAAACACTTTATTAAAAAATTTCATTGTTCCTATAAAATATAATTATATAAGTAAAATCTCTTTGTCTCTACAAATAATGTTTTAAAATAACGTATAAAAAAATAAAAAATATATCGTTAATCATAGTTTAAATATATGATTTTACTAAATTTTAAATAAAAATGTTTACAAAAAATATGTTTGTCTATATATATTTTAGATTTTTTGGTTATGGTATGAATTACTTATGAGAAAGTTTATATATGTTAAATCTTCAAGCTACCAAACTAATGCATTATAAAAATATTAAAAAGAAAAACAATTTGTAAATTGTCGTGGTTTTAATAAATTTTGAATTTAAATACTTAAAAAAATAAATTTTGCTTATAAATTTTAAATCTATACATATAAAACCCAAATACATCACTTATAAATCGCTAAATCTCGAAAACTACTCAACCAACGAACTTGAAATTTAGAATGGTGTTCTTTTAATACTTTTACCGAACAATGAGAAAGGATTTTAAAAAATTTTGCGTTTAAGTGGAATAATGAATAATTTTTATTATTCATTTATTAATAAGTATTGTACGGCACGGCGGCCAGCCTTGCAGGTTTCCACCTACCTTTAACCTATACCCATACCGGCCGGTGCGGCGTGTAGATACGAATTGTTCCGAGGAATTTATCGACAAAAATACACACGGGCGAAACCAGGTAATTCAGCTAGTATTTTCATATTACTATAAAAATGTAGGATCTTGTATTACATTTTTAAGCTTTTTGATCCAGCAAAAATTTTTTTGTTAACATTTCTTTGAATAAAACTAAAAAAAAAAAAAAAATTGAAAAATTAAATTATAAATATCTCAAAAATAGTCAAAATATTTTGAAAATTGTATTGTTATTTGTTTTTTAATTTTTATAAAATATATAAATTGTTTAATAGAAACAGTTTTTAACGTTTAAATATGCTATATCATAAAAAATTGAACTTCAAACACTCATAAAAAATTAATGTCTATCCAGTAAATAATTTTAAAAATGCTTAAAAAATTTTAAAAATACTAAGAATATTAGAATATTAAACCTTAATTTTAAAAATTCATATTTCCCTTAATTTTTTGAATTGTCTTTCCTGGTTATTTTGAAGAATACTAGGAATTTTAATAAAATTTTTATCATTGTAAATGAAAAACTTTCATTGCTTCGCTTAGAATTTAAAATAACAATAATACATATTATTTATTGTAATACCAATAGCTTTTGTTCAGTTATAATCAAAAACCAAATAACATAATCGCAAATTTAGGTGAAACTTAAAATTTTGTTTGATACTCAATAAATGTATGCGTTACAAATTTTAGTGTGAACAAATTCATAAAACATAGATCAATAATATACGTATTTAACCTTATTTTATCGTTCAAGCCGTTTTAATGTTTATTAGGACAATTGGTGAAATAATTTAACACAATTATTATCTTTTCAATAATCAAAATAATCATAATGGTCGTAATCGTGTACATTATGTAATTAATTTTCATAATACACTTCACAACAAGCAAATTTTAATAATAATAAATTAGCAATAATTTAATAATTACCCTTATTTTTCGTTTTTAATTTTAATTATACAAAATACGATGATATATTATAGTTGCATGTGTTAAGTGTAAATATTTAAAAAAAACAGGAGTGGTTTTAAATTGTGGCCATATCAACTGATTATTACGAAGTTCAGATTGAATTATTAAGTTCTATTATGTTATCATAAATAAAATTAATAACAAATCAAAAAAAATCATAATATTTTTACTTTGTCAGCAGTATATTAAATTTATTTGTATCATTATATTAATAGAATTCATATTATTTGTTGATTCAGTACATAAATTGGTTTTGCAAACGACGCTTATTTCAACTTTAGGATAATGCAGTAACAAGCAGTTAAACTGGCTTAGATAATCACAATAGGACAATAAACAATAACAATTATAATAAAATCATGTACTATAATATTAGTGAAATGATGATAATATTTATTTGTTCAAAGCTAGTCGTAAATAATTGTACCACTATGAGGGAGATTTACAATAGACAACGTGAAAACGTTGTCTAGGGACTAAGTACGTATTAAAGGTTATTATTAGTAAAGGTAACGGAGTGATTCACTAATCAAGCTCATCCCTATTTTCCTTTGATAATTAATTTATTTGAATTCCGGTTTTTGAAATTTTTAAATAAAATATACTAAAATATCTTATTTTAAAATTCTTGAGATTGAACCCAATCCAGAAGAGTCTTTTGTGGTATATAGTCTTTTGTTTTTCAAAAAAGAATTTTTGACGTTCACTGTAAATAAATATAGTTTAGTGGATAATTTTTTTGAAAATTTTTATGCATCTAATTACAAATTCAAATGAGTTGTTTTTTAGTTGTTTAAGTGTTTATATTAAGGGAAGTAGTCCTTGAAAATGGTTTTACAAAAATATAAAAATATGTGATATTAGAACTAGTATTTAATATACTTGGACTAACTTTACAAATCATAAAAATATTGATAGATTAATATTAGTTAATTAAATTTTTAAATCACCATAGTCTAATTGTCTTTAAAATTCATTATCAATTATCATTGATTCATTATTCTTAATACACATAATTTAATAACTCAAAAACTAGTCGTTAGAATTTTGATTTGTATGCACCAAAAGTTATGAAATCGACTTTTTATTTTCATAAAATACTAGTTAAGTAAAAAAAAATAAAAATATATATATATATATTATATATATATTATATGGAATATTTATTATTAATTATTTTAATTTTTATTATATTATTATATTAATATTAGTGCATCTAAGTATATACTTTGTACATTATCAATATTTTAAATTTTGTTATTATTGTTCATAAAATTATCTATTTTCTTCGTGTTAAATTAAATAAATATCTATAGGTAGGTATTATATTAAGTTACCCGATTGTGGTGAGTGTGACGAAGCAATAGTAGACCGAGTCAAAGTACGTCCAACCCTCGTACGTGGAGAACGCCGTTGCACCACCCGCGATCGTCAAACTCGATAAAAAGGACACAACGAATATGAGATTGATCTCCGTGGCTTCCGTACGTTTGCAACCAAGTGCCCGCTTCGCCTGTCTGATCACCACGGACGAGAATTTGTTCAGCTGCTCGCCGATACTCTGGAACATGACTAGGCCCAGCGGTATGCCCACCATTGCGTAGAACATGGTGAACAATTTGCCGGATTTTGTGTTCGGTGTCGAGTGCCCGTAACCTGAAGGTGCATAAGCAGACGAGTGATTAGTAATATACATAGTGTACTTTGAAGGTGTTATGAAATATTTTAATTTTAATGAGATTTCAGTGGAAAATTATTGTCAGATCTTCCGGATATGCAATATCATATAATTTACTAATAATAATCTCACATCATTCTCGGGTTCAAATACAAATAGTGTGGCAGGGGAATCTAAAAAGTATGAGTACTATAATTTTTAACCTTGTACAATATGTCAGTATGGTATATTATAGGAGAGGAGGCACTCTGGCATATGAAATATTTGTGTTGAAAAAAAATACGTGAGACGGGGGGTGTTATAGTGTTTGAACCTTTCCGAGGAGAGAATTTATGCTGCGGCATCATGTATTTTCTTATATAGACAATTTATGGATTACGAATTTCCTGACTCAACCTAAAGTAGATGATAGGACGCCAATAATTGTATCCAGTGTATATATAATATATTGTGGTATTATTAATTATGAAAGTTAGAGTTTTCCCGGACAGTCTCCTAATGAATTAGTTTGATCGAGTTTAATACTCAGTACTTTTTATGTTAGTTTCACTGATGACGTCGTAATTCTAAAGCTCGTATAAAAGTAATACATATAAAATAATAATAATAACCAAATCTGGAGTTATTTATATAATTATAGTAACCATCAATAATTTTTCAATAAACGAGATAAAATTACAAATTTAAAGTACTTAATGATAACTCATTTTTTGATAGTTTGAAATAAAATTTGAATATAATTATAGAATACTAACACTTGAAGAGTGCCAATATAAACACATTGATATTGACTATATTATATTTTTAGTAGAATTTTAGAATCAGTCATTGGGTTTAATAATGTGTACATTTTATTTTAGTATAAAATAACAAAAAGTGTGCTATAATCAATCAATATGAAATGGCTTTAATTTAATTTTGATCTATTTAAAAAAAAAAAAAAAAAAACTGTTTATGCTAAAAACGTCATAATATTATTTTTCGGTAGATTAACGTAACAAACCTACGCATTTTTCATAATTAATTTTCTTTTTAATTAATTTTATAAAAAAAAAAATTTTCTTTTGAAATTGTAATAAATTATATAAACAATTTTTTATAGTATCTGAAATAAATAGCCGCATTATTTTCATAGTAAAAATAATTATCCATTTTATTACAGAAATATATTTAATAATATAACAATAATACAATATGTTGTAGATATTTATTTTAGAGTAATAAGTAATAATACTTTAACATTCTGGTGCTTAACTTAAAACTTCATATGGCCACAATAATTACAATTTTTTTCAAGAGACTATTTATTATTATATCATTGATCAGTATTATTTTTAAAGTTTATTTGATTGTATTTTTTGAATTGGTAACATTTTAAAATTAAAAATACTTATGTTTTTATTTATATTTATTTAATTTTAATAGTTATTGTAATTATTATAAGGAAAATTATTTAGAATTTTTATTTTAGTTCTTAAACTAGTTTTTTTTTTTAATAAAATAAATTGTTATAAATTACACATCTTGGTACCTTCATAGGATACAATTTTGGGAATCACTTAGCTATGAGTTCAATTAACTATAAATATTCACTAATTTTGATCGAGTAAACTATCATTACTTTTATGGACTTAAAATTGTAGGATAATATCATAAAAAAATTTAAAATTGCTATTGTGTGTAACAATACCGTTTTATTATTGCTTTTAAGTAGTATTATAAATAATAATTGTTAATAGTACTTATTTTAGTAGTTGACAGTTGTAACCTGTATTTTATTAACTTGCTTAGGCTTAAAAAAAGGTTTAAATAGAAAAACAAGTAGGTACCTAGGTAACGACAAGTTAATAACACATACCTACCAAGAGAGCGATGCGATTCGACGGGAAGTAGATTTTATCCACACAATTAACTAAATATAATTTATTATTAATAAATAAAATATATTATAATACTATTCAAGTATTGTCTTACATACATTTTATCATTAATTAGAAATTAAAACTAAATTCTATCATCATTTGTTATTTCTAATTTAACTGATTTGGTGTTTTGTAGCATTTGAATCAATTTTGTCTATTTTTAAAATGAGATATATCTTTAAATATAAAAAAAATGTCCAAATTTTTCTAAAAATTATATTATGAATTTCTCGAGATAATATTATTTACTAAAATAATGCAAAATTGAGTAATATTAATAAGCTAAGTCATAGTATAGTTGTACTATAATTTCATGAAATGTATATATTAATAAATTTGAGAGTTAAATAAAAAAATAAAAATATTTTGTTCAATTTAAATTTGAATAATTGTTTAATTGTTATGTTTCAATTATATCTACAATATAATAAAATGTATTTCATAACTTTAATACAAACTGTTCAATGATTACAAGTTAAATAGTTCCAAAATTATAAATCTCTGGATTTAAACTCAAATTATTATTATTGTTAAACAAAGTTCAAAAGTATCAACACAAAAAAAAAAAAAAAAAATAATAATAAAAAGAAACTCTAAAAGTTTTTCTCTGAAAATGTTTTGTATTGTTACAATAGCATGTTGTTTCTGTTTTAAAAATTAATCTGAGGGCGAAAATCGGGGCACAATGTGAAGCATTTTTAAAACGTTCGAGAGAAATCGAAGTGCACTTCGTCTGCGGTATACTTAAAAAGGTGCAAAGTGTTTTAATCCTTAATAATCCTTTTAGACGTAATGCTATTCTTTGTCTACGGTATAGATTGTATTGGATTATGTATACAAAGTCTTAATCTATAGGTAACTAAATGATACGAATATTGATATATACATATAAGAGTATGGGTAAATATTATTATAATGCCTAGGTTTATCTATTATATTGCGTATACGTACCAATAGTCGTGAGTACCGTAGTAGCAAAGTAAAATGCTCCAGCAAACTTCCACTGTTGTCCGGCCTTGTGCGGTTCTGACTTCAGTACAATTGTCTCGATCAGCCGATAGTCGTCTGTGGATATGTTGTACTTTTTGAGAATTATCCCTTCTATGGCTGAAAAAAAAGAAACAGTGATCTTAAAATTTAGAAATTCCAAATCTGAAAAAAATGAATTTATTAAAACGAGCTTTGCTACGTAAAAGGTAATATTAATCGTTTTCAGACTACGGTTAGTTTATCACCGAGTTCTACACCATTACATTATAATATGGATACATACAATTGTGTTATCGAAATGTTTAGTTTAAAACCTTTAATGTTAAATACGTATACTGTCGTAATTATTAAAGGCGCATGTATTAATAATATTTTCCACGTTAATCCCTTTATATTTTTTAATCATGGGATTTACTCGTATTAATTTTGTTGTATGCATACAATACTAGCTATAACGGGAGACTTGGTGTTTAAATATTTTCCTGACTTACTGTAGGTAGTCAAATATATTATAAAACCAACCAGACCGAACAAACACTATGCACAGTAGGTAACTATATTATTATTAGCACATATACAGACATCCAAATACATATTATATATAAAGGTACTTAGGTACTCGACTCTGCCATATAGTTTTTTTCATGACTGCTTGACCCAGTTATCGCTACATCTACGCATTTGTGTATAGATCGTTGACAAGAATGAGAAAAAATGTGTTATTTTTTATGAATGTTTTTATATCATATCTCCTGAACAGCTAACGTGTGTACAATGTAACCGGAATCTGAACTTTGCGCTTAAAAAATCATTATTGTGATGAAATTATTCATATTAAATGTCTTTTTAAATACTTTTATAACATTAAAAATGAACCACAGTTATTATCTTCTTCACGTTGGACATGTCTCTAATGATCTTCGCATTACAGGATCTATTTTAACATTGAATAATATAATGTTTCCGACTCATAATTATTGTGTTCGATTTTTTATATTAACAACAGCCATCAGCCAAAAATGTTTAATGAATTGCACATCACATAAATTATAGTATATTTATGTTCAAAAAAAAATGATTTACCAACTGATAAAAATTATTAAAGCAACTCCTTTTTAATATCTTATTTTTTAATTTTTTGTTTCAAAAATATAAGTTGGTTATTATACTTTAATATTATTTTATTATACATACATACATTTTTATGTTGTCTGTAGTAACTAGTAATACATTATTTATCACACTTTATGAATTCCATTACGTTCACATGTTGTTCGCGTATTACCAATACTAATTGAAGTATACGGAAAATATAAATTCTGTTTCAGGTGTTTTAATTGAAATTAATGATAATGTTATATATATATTTTTTTTTTTATCAACCAATGGACCGCAGGAGTTGTTTAGATTTACATTGTTGGCACACCACCAAAGATTTAACATGAATGTATATAAATTATGCTTGGTGCTTTAAGAAAAATCCCTATAAGTAAGCCAAAATTTATTGCTTACGTGATCGTAAAAATAATTCTACTATTAATATATATATATATATATATATATATATATGTATGTATGTATGTATGTATACAATTTAAGAAATATATAAGCATATTTTATCATTTTGGAAATATATTTTCATACAGAGAAAAATAAATAATAATGTGATAGAATTTGAAACTATGAGAAATTAAATCTATAAGGTGTTTTTAATTTTGTTTGCAGATTTTTTGTAACAAATGATTCCATAAATGTTTCACGTTATATTTTAATATTCCATCCACTGACAGTAAATTCTTTGAAAAGGACTACGAAGAAAATTATATCAAGTTGATTGTAATAATAATAAAATTAAAAAAAAAAAATAATAAGGAACCTTTTAAATGTATTATTATTATTCATATACTTCATAAACTTGTATAATGTATATATATTATACTTATACATTTGTTATATAAAGAATATTATCGGGTTTCTTGAAAAGTTTTTTTTACGCCTTTCAATTTAAAATTATACGAAGATGAGATAATATTTTATTTTTCGTAAAATGCCATGGTTCTGAGAACGGTAGAGGGGATCAAGTCTGCATACATAATAATACGTTTTATGTTGTGTATATTGTGTATAAATGAAAAAAAAAATTGGTCGTTAGATTAACAACAATACCTTTTGGTTTTTTAAACAAAATATTTTCGTTGATTGAAAAGTGAAAATAAAAATTAAAAAAATATCAAAACAAGCTGAGAAAGTGATTATTTTCTCAACGCTTCTTTGGCATAAATCACCATTATTATTATCATCATTAAAACCATTTGACGTCTGATGGCTAAACGAGAGTGGAGATCGTCAAATTCGTCATTCACTCGTACCTACTGCTGTCGGGTATGGCTATTATTTTGTTTTCCCCTCAAATTTTCAATCACTTAACCTTTGTTTAACTATAGAGAATCAAAATAAGCGTAACATAGTTTATTAAAAATATCATAACATTCTCCATGTATACAACCATCCGCAATCTGTCGGGGACCTCGTTAGCTCGGAGCAGTAAAAGCCGGCAATTCTTGTAGTCATATTCTCTTATCTTATACGTGTAGGTATTAAAATTTTTAAATTTCTTTAAAATCAAAACTTATGACTAACATTTTGATTACCCGATAAAGTCCTATAACATGTAAACTACAACGTTTAAAAATTGTTTTACATACATACACCCAAACATGAGTTTTTGAGTAGAGATTTAGTGTTTTAGAGCGACGATATAAGTAAAAAAAAATGATTAACTTTAAAATATAGTTGATCCTCGTTAAAAACACCACGTTTAAAAGTATCCACATATAAGCCAAAAGTAGATGATAAAAAAAAATCAACCGATTAAACTAGATAACTCCCATCCATTAAATGTTTTTCTATTTATTTTATGAACTTTCCAATGTTTTAAGTGGATTGGCTCACAATAATAAGAAATATCCATTGCCCACAATTAAGCAGAGAGTCTATACCTATTAAATTGTTTAATAAGAAGTAATTTGAAATATTTTATTGTTAAAACGATCAAACTTATAAGTGTGTTTCTGAGAAATAGCAAAAAAAGGACACAAAATATTATGGCCATTAGTTATTAATTATTGAGCATAATGTTTTCAGCGTTTAAATGCCGATTAAGTACTTTTTATAGTTCTTATTGATTTTATATGCAAAAACAATTAAAATTTATTAATGATTATTTATTTTTTTTTTTGAAATAAAAGCTATAGATAATACACTTAAATTTATATATTATACAAAATATAGTATACGCATTATAACATGATTTTTAATTTTGTGAAATTTTATTTATTAAATTGATTGAACGTAATATTATAAGCAAATAGACATTAGATATTATTCAAGTATTATTTTATACTATTTTATACTAAATTCGATTTGTTTTTGTTTAGATTTCAATAATAATTTAGATTTAAATAAAAGTAAAATAGCGTTCCATAATAACTGAACATATTTTGTTAATATAACAAAATATAGAGATCGCAGCCTAGACAGTTTAGAATTCGCTCATTTAGACAGATTGGGAAAAATATAATTGAATAGTTGTGTTTGTGATGACTGAAAACAGAGACAAAAGAATCAGTCCATAAACAATATATGCACACACTCATATATACACATAATATTTCTCTATTTCTTTATACTCATCGTATATAAGCGTTTATGTGTTGGAGTAGATACTTTATGGAGTAAAATAGAGAGCAATTTTATTAAATCTGATTTAAAGAAGTTTTTAAATTGAAAAAAGTTACTTTGGTTTAATAAATAAAATATATAAATTGATATAAACTGCTATTTGTATTTATTAATCATATTAGTTTTATTTATAAATAAAAAAAATTTGAAAGCAAATATAAAGAATCATTAATATTGTTTAAAATAATTATTAATTATAAAACAAAACTTGACCAACTATTGAACTAGCCAAATAATAAAATTAAATAATAATATAATAATACGTAAAACAAACATGTGTTATAATTATTTTTTTTTTTTTAATTTTATTGTGTTTAAATTATGTCAACATGTTTCATGTTGTTAGTTGTTTAAGTTAGATAATTTAGATATAGTACTCTTTTGATAAATTTAGTTTGATATACAAAATACCTAGTAAAAATAATTTAATAAAAATAATGATTCATGTAAAATAAAATTATATAAAAAATTGCTGTTTCTACGTAAATTTTTATCATTTTTCTATGAGCTTTTTTGGCACTCACAACCATTTTAATATTCATGCATAGGTTTAAAATTTCAAATGTGCATAATTATGCAAACATTCGCTCGACGATGAATCACCAATTATATAATTATTTAATACACCTAATGAACACGTAGATTATATTATAATCTTTATTTCCTTAGAATTCTCATATTTTTGATTAAAATTTTGTCACGATTTACGAAAAACTTCTAATAATAAGGGATCTTTGACGCATTTGGTGAATTACGTTTATCAACTATTTAAATAAACGATCTGACCCAAATTATATTGCTCTACATTTTGTTTGAAATGTTGTTATATTTGTATATTTTTTTTAGTATTATAATTAATTTTTGTTCTATTTTTTTTTTTTTTTTGTACATGTTTACATTTTAATATTTAACATTTAAAGAAGGTGATAAACTATTTTTTACAAAGTCCATTTATTGAATATTATTTATTTTTCAGGAAAAATGTATACAAATTTAAAATTTTTATCATTTAATATAGCCAAATTAGGTATGTATAAATTATACAAAAATAGTAGAAAACTATTTGATAGCTCAAATATTGTGTATATTAAAAGTCTTAAAAAAAAAAAAATGGTATTTTTAGTGTAATAAGTTAAAAAATAATGATTAAAAAGTTATTTTAATTATTTGTTCAAATTTGTAATTTGTATAGTAAATAATTATATTTCATGAACAATTTCATAAAGGATTACTGTATTTTATAGTAGAAATAAATAGCTTCATTTATTTCTAATAAAAAAAAAAAAACAAAAAAAAAACAAGCAACATAAAAACAGGTGTATATTTACTAATTAAAAAGTTTTGGAATAATATACTCCCAATATAATTATTTAGTG